TCCATAGCTCCTCAGTAAGCGTGGGACTAGGAGATGGTCTGTCCTTCTGTGCCCCTTCTATGATGGGACTTTGGCTGCCTTGGGCTTGTGTAGGTCTTGTGTGGGGCATCCAAGCTGCTGTGAATTCATTATTGCAATGGCTGTCAGGTCTAGGAAACAGCAATTCACATGGCCTCTATTCTCTGGTTCTTAAAATCATCCCATCTCTTATTTTGCAATGTTCCCCAAGCATTGGTGGTGGTAGGTCTAATGCAAATGTCCTGTTTTTATGGGTGAGCATTCAGTCTCTTATTGGCTGCTGTCCATTGCAAAAAGATTCCTCAACCAAAGTTGATAGCAGCCAAGGTCTATGGGCACAAACATAAATATTTAGGAGGTAACTCTGGCATGGACATTTAGCAAGATAATAATAGTAGGTTCTACCCTAATGCCTAAGAACTCCCCAGTCATGGGCTTTTAATAAGAATTAGAATCATTAAGAAATTCCTCTCCTATGCAGCATGTTTCAGACCCAATCAGAAAGTGATTGTCCCATAATTGTTGGGCCACTTGTCTTAGGGTTTTTGTGGCTGTGAGAGATGCCATGACCACAGCAACTCTTGTAAATAAAACATATCATTGGAGTGGCTTGCTTTTTGTTTCAAAGGTTCAGTCCATCATCATCATGACAGGGAGTGTGGCAGCATGCAGACAGACATGGTTCTGGAACCGAGAGTCCTTACATCTTGACTCAGAGGCAACAGGAAATAGACTGACTGTCACACTAAGTGAAGCTTGAGAAAAGGACCGCAAAGCTCACCCTCACAGTGGCACACTTCCTCCAACAAGACCACACCTACTACAACGAGGCCTCACCTCCTGATGGTGCCATTCCCTTTGGGGGCCATTTTCTTTCAAACCACCATACCACTATTGTATTATAGTGTAGCATTCATAGTCAAACACTGGGTAGCACCATTGATGGCTGTCTTCCCCAGCAGCTTACATAGAGCCTTCTGGTACTATGAAAGGTAGCCAAGCATGGAGCAAATTTCATGGTCAGTTTAAGATTGATGTCTCTGTATCCTGTAGCCAAAACATGTGGTGTCTTCAGCACCACACAAAGGGCCTTACTTTGTAGTTTTGGTGGTTAACCAATAACAGTGGCAATAGCATGTGTTGTGTTGGAGACCTCTGGGATTTCTATGGTGAATTAATTGTAGAGAGATATCTCACACCTGGATTCTTACCTCTTACCACACCAAAACTAAATTTCAAATGGATCGAGAACCTCAACATAAGACCTAATAACCAGAAGGAAAGGTAGGGGAGAACACAACAATGTGTAGGCAAGGAAAAAGAGAACTGTCTCAATAAGATGCTGATGGCAAAGGAAATACAACCAACAGTTGACAGATGGGATCTTGGGAAACCTAACATCTATGTACAGCAAAGGAAATAGTAAAATGAATGAATGAGCAGTCAAAAGAAAAATTTTTCAGATATTCATCTGACAGTTGTCTAACATATACAAAGAACTAAAAATGCTAAAGCATAATAAAACAGCCCAATTTAAAGATGGACTATGAAATGAAACAAAAGAAATCCAAAAAAGAAATGCAAATGGCTAGGAAACACTTTATAAAGTGTTCAACATCTTCAGCTATCAGAGAGATACAAATTAAAACTTCTTTCAGATTCCATTCCACTGCAGTAACAGTGACCATCATCAGGAACACAAATGACAGCAAGTTCTGGGTGGATGTGGAGAAAGAGGAACTATTGATAGGAGTAAACTATTGAAACTACTTTGGAAGTCAGTCTCAAAAACTAGAACTAGAATTGCCATATGACCCAGCTATACCATCCTAGGCAAATACACAACAGTCTATATCCTACTATAGAGACACTCAGGTACCCACATTCATTGTTGTTCTATTCACAGTAGCTAGCAAACAGCCTAAATGTTCATCACCAGGTGAATGGGTAAGAAAAATGTGGCATGTATATACAGTGGAGTATTACTGGACTATCAAGAAAAATGGAACCATGAAATTTGCAGGTAAATAGAACTGGAAAAAATGATACTGAATGTCAAAGGCTGCCTCTTCTCTCTCATGTACATATCTCACTTTCAAGTCTTTTATTTTGCATAATGAAATTAGAGAAGAAGTTGAGGTGGGGAAACTAGATAATCTTTGTGGAGGGGGGCATGTGAAGGGAGGAAGATAGTAGATTACAGGTCAAAAGAAAGTAGGAAGAGGAGAATGGGACAGAGGGGCTTAGGCAGGGAAGGGTGTGGTAGTATGGGGGGAAATCAAGGGATGTAAAGGACAGGGCTAACCCAAAGGAAGGTGATGCAAAAAACAAACAAACAAACAAAAAAACCATATGGGAGGCTACAACCAATTTTTCCCCCAGTTGCGGGATAGCAGAACACAAGAAGAAAGAAGGACAATAATGAGGGCTACTAGACTCAGCAGGGCTGGAAGATGGGGAGTCAGAGGGATAATGGGTTAACTAAAACTAAGATGTATGAAGATGCTTTATGGAAACCTAATTATTATTAAGCTAATTTCCAAATAAAACTTTCAACAGCAGAAGAGTTTGGACAGAGTTATCATGTATGGGTGGACAAGTTCACTACCTTTTCTCAGTTCTTCCCCAGCCCCCATTTGAATTTTTAAGACAAGGATTCTCTGTGTAGCCTTGGTTGTCCTAGAACTTGCCCTGTAGACCAGGCTGGCCTAAGACTCATAGAAACCCACTGTCTCTGCCTCCTGAGTGCTAGGATTCAAGGTGTGCACTACCAATACCCAGCTTGTCTGCTGGACTTCTTCCAACTTTGGTTTACTCTTTGTCAGCAAGATATCTGGATGTTGCTGGGGACTTTCACAGCTCATTAGCTTGGTTCCCTTATGTTAAAAGTCACTCACTGTAGACTTCTACATCCAGTTGTCATTATAATACACTCTTCCTCAATCCAATATTTTCCTTAGGCTCAACATATTTTTTAGGCTCTCATCTTACAACTGAGTGTGGCATTGCTGTCTCTCAAATATTATGATATTCTTCATAAAAACCTGTCACTTTCAGTGGATGCCATTTTTCAAATGTCTTACACTCCATTAACTTTTGCTCTACAGTTTCTGAGGCATTTGATTGATTTCTAGGAGATTTGTGATTGAATATTCAAAGAAGACATGTTCAAAAGTAGCATTAACTCTGTTTTGTGGATTTCTCCCAAAGATAAAATTGCTTCTTGGATCCCTTTCTTATCACTGGCAAGGTTTTTGTTTGTTTATCTTATATTCTCTTCAAAATACATAGTAAAATTATTGTTTTAACTACATGTATTTTGCTGTTTTGAAAAGAAAGTAAGTTAAGTTCCAATGAATAAATAGTTATGATTTATTGGTAAGTGAGCATCCAGTCAGAATGTTTCTGATTGTTTTTGAGCCTCTGGTCTTTCTGATGCTGTTTTCTTACCTTTGAATGTGGTAAGTTGTTCTATGAGATTAAATGTAGATTATTCTTGTTTGTCAGTTGAAATATAAATCAATTCTTAGAGTTTCTATATTCCCTGCTAAAATATAGTCAGTGTCTTCTAATGTTAACTATGTCTGTCACAAATGAGCTTGCTAAGATTCCTTGGTTTAGGTGATTTTATACTACAAACATCTGAGATCTGATCTTAAGTAGTTATAAATACTGGAGTCTGTCAGTACATATGTCTATGTGTGAGTTTGGGCAAGTGTATAAATGTATATTTGTCTTATATTGTAAGATCCTACTATGTTTATTTACTTACCTAAGTTTCCAGTCCCAATCTTTGGGAATTAGTGTGAATGAGTTCTCTTCTTATTCTAGAATACAGAAAGAAATCCAAAAGTCTGCTGATAGTTTGTGTTTTGCTATAACGCTGGGTCTGCTTAGTTAATTGTTTTTCTCCTGCTATTAACACAGATGGCCATACTTCTCCTGTGTGAGGCTAGAGGGAAAACTGGGTGGCCCATCAGTGTTTCACTGCTCATGGTAGTGTCTGATTGGAGCAGATAACTCAGAATCTTGATGACAGTCGCTGTGTCTCTGGAACTTTTGGAGGTTTAGAAGCCATCAGCCCTACTCATCAGTTCATTCTTTAGCAGCAGGCAGTACTCTGTTTTCCTTGGCTTTTTCTCCCAGTGAGTATTATAAGCCCTGATTACTCTCTTCTTCTCACTTGAGCCATAATTCAGTGAAGCTATTTTCACCCCAGGAAATTCAGATAGCAGTTGTGTGGTTGAGAATAATGTCTTGAAGTGCAAATGGCTAGAATTTGATGCACTAAGTCTGATGTAGACTAGCTTGGTTGTCCTTATAGGCAACTCACTGAAATAAAAAACTTTGGTTTTTGTTTTGTTGTTTCTTTATATATTTTGAATGACATCATTATTAAGCCTAACGGTTTATTAAATGACAATGATTTTTGTCTCTATAGAAAATCAAACTTAAAAATTACAAGCTACACACACTTAACAGGATCATTAATTTATTCAGGTAATATCAAGGAATTTAATTATATTCACATTTGACAGAAATATTTTTAAAGTGTATTTCTTTTTGTGTATGTGTTTCATTAATTGCTATCCAAACAGTTTCAGAAGAATTGTGTTGAACCTGACTGAAGAGAAACAATAGTAATTTAGATGTAGTACTTGTCATTTGAGACCTTGAGAAAAATGACACCCTAGCTTCTTGCTTAGCAAATCTCTTCTCTATTGATGGTATGTAAATGGAATGAGCAGAAAGTTTGACTCTTAGGTGTTTGGGAGATAGATGGTTGTTTAGACAAGAATTGGGCACAGAATTGAGCTTAGTCTCACTGCTACACAGAAGTCTAATGACCTTCCTAAGCCCTGGGTCCCTTCCTTAAAGCTGGTGGTGAAAAACAGGGAGCAAAAATGTAGAAATTTTGTAGCAGCCATTATATTACTAGAAAATAATTGAAACTATACTACAAATAATGTGTTATATTTCAGGTCCTCCAGGGAAGCGAGGAAAGAGAGGTCGAAGAGGAGAGTCTGGTGAGTGACTGCCTTGTGTTACTCAAGTTCTAGTATAGCAGCAATGTTTGTCTTCATCAATTAATGCTGTTTTTCCCATGTTGGAAGGTGTGTGCATGTTTGGTACTTCTAGACATTAAATTTAAGAAAAGACTCTAATTTCCAACAAATTCTAAGAAGGAAGTATTGGTAAAATGTTGTCCTTTATGGTTTAGTATTAATGCTCCCACCCCGAGTTTTAGCTTGCTTGCTGATCAAAGTCAACCCAGCTGTGTTCCTTGGTGGGGGTCTCACCCACACGTGGTATGGCAATGTGAACATGTGTCCTCTGTATGGATGGCCAACATGGTGGTATTTGTCTTATCACTTTAAGGAGAACACCTTGGAAAGCTCTATTAATTTACCCAAGTAGAAGTTGGTCATACTGCTCTGCCATTCATATGGACTGCAGGAGTGGCTCCGGTACAACCGCAGGGCTTCAGTGACAAAGTGCAGTGCCATTAGTCAGTCTGGAGTTTCCATGTTGTCATTGAGGAACCAGAGCAGTGTCCTGATTCCTACTTCAGTAATTTGTACTCTCAGGACAAATTCCTTCAGGTAAAATAAAATAGAAAAGGCCAAATTAAGGTATTTCTGAAACCAAGATACAGCAATAAGGGAGGTCAGTTACTGCTTTTACTCCACTATGTCTGAGATGTCAAGAGGGTCAATGTCCAGAGGTTTTCTTATGAGAACATCAGTTCTTATATCAGGGTGACTCCAGCATGCTCTGGGATAGGGTTTTCTACAAGCTTGTGTTAGTATTATCAATAGATAAGACAACCAGTGGCCAGTTGTTGAAATAGTAGAACCCTAGCTTGTCAGGAAGAGCAGGCTGTAGGCTGAATCGCGGACATTCCATTTCCTCTTTCCCTTTTCAAAAAATTAAGATGGTAAAGTGAAAGGAATTAAGAAAATTCATCAACCAGGAAAGGTGGTTGCTGATTTCTGAGTATTTCTCACGAGCTGTCATTAGGCCTCCCCGAATCTGGATGGCTGGGTGAAGTTCATAATAGGAGTTTTATCACGGTCATTAAAAGTTAAATGTTAAGATCAGCATGCACAGCAATGGGACTCATTTTGGCATCTTCATGTATGTGTATTGTGATAGTTTGTTCTCATTTGTTTGGCTCCCCCAATACCTGCTCTACCTGTCCCCCCCACACATACACACACACACACACACACACAATCTTGAGGGAAAAGAAATGATGAAAAAAATCACCAAAATAATCTCTTTGAAAAGATTAGGAGGAAGATCAAAATTATGCACTCTTGCAAAGTTTGATAGACAAGATAAAAATCACCTTCCACCTGCCTAGTCGTGTATAGAACTGGTGTTTGGAGCATACAATGTATGTTCTCAGTTTTCACCTGTGCTCTGGTTTGAAGAAACCTCTGGAGACACTAGGACTGGGCTTTTATGTACTGGCAGTAGCATTGAAGGAAGGATGTTCTTCAAGGAAAGCCTTCAGCAAATATGATGGGCTTTGCTGATTTAAGTGTTTATCAAGTTCAGTTCTTGGGAGTAGGCTATCAGAAGCAGTCAAGATTCTCCTGGCTCGTATTTACTAAACTTGCATGTATCTCAGTTTTATTTCAAGTTCCCATGGCCTCTCGGCTACACATGAGTAGCTTTGGGGAACCCAAAAGTTTGTTTAAACCCCATGCACAATTTGTGTTTGGGCATAAGTTTATTTTTTCTGTCATCTCAAAGTCTGTGATGTAAAGAAGAGACTTGATAATCACTGGGTTGTAAGTGTCCTTTGTGCTTAGTATTGTGATGGTTCATTATGTTAATTAATTTTAACATTTACATACACTGATTTCTCTTTCTCTCTCCCCTCATCCTGCCCACAGGTCCTCCTGTAAGTATTGCGTGATGATTTTGGCTCTCCACATTAATCAGGATCCACGTATGTTAAAACCTTGCTAAAAACATATATGGTTGAAGCTCCATTTAGGAAAATGTGACTGACCTTTTATGAACGTTTAAATGTGGAAAATTATGTCTTTACTACACAATTTTGGGTTGTGTGCTGTACTAGAATGCAATATTGGGGGTGGGCTGTATTTTTTATGTTGTCACACATTGATTACTCTCTCGAGACTTTGGGGTAACATATGAAGCTTCTGATTTTGAGTCTTTTCCCTGGAATTCTGAGGTTTACTTGTGCAAGCAAGTCTCCAAGCTATTTCACACATCTTTTTTCATCTGTTTAAACTCATGTCTGAGATATTTGGATTTGCCGGTCCACCAAATGTAGATGGCAACATGATCATGGAAGGGATACCCCCTGTGCGTCCCGCCGGGGCCAGGCCTCCCTTCTTAGGCAGAACTCCCTTTGAAGTCTGTTGGAACCTTGCCGTCATAAGGAGCCCGAGACATGGCCCGTGGAGACTTTGTGCTCCTTTCTTTCCTCGGGTAGGTCATAACTGTGGCATTCCAGTCTGCTTTGCAATCGCAGGAATAGATTATCTTGTCAGCTTTGAGCTCGATGCATTTTTGAGTAATATCCTGGCTATCTGCTGTCTGGCCCTGAGGTTTATGCTGTGCACCAGGCCTTTTCAGTAGCAATGATCGTTAGCCTTGAGATAGTTTCTCATCCCAGATTCAACATTGCCAATTTATCTGAGGCCAGCACAGTCCAGGGAGAGGGATTAGCACATACTTGTTGACTTGTTCAGAGGAAGCATTGGCTTCGAAAATATCTTTTGCAGTCTTCCTGCCATGTTCAGTGATGGGACATGAATCATGTTTGCAATGATCTTGCTCCTGTGACTGACTTATCTGCTCTTGCTTAATGCTAGGTAGACAGCATGGCCCAGGTCTAGAAGCCTTTACTCTCCGCCTTTGTATTTAAGCTTCTGTCTTTAAAACTCAAAACAAAACACAACTGCCCTAAAGGAAACCCCCTAGGTTACAGGGGCTTGGGAGAAACATGTTCAAGGCTTCCTTCTGTGGAATGTGTATTTGTCATGCAGATTGAGAAGTTAATTCTCATGCCTGCATGATGGTGACCTTTAAGATGCCAGTATTTCCTTGTTGATCCACTAGAACAGCATATAAGCATATTGCCTATGTTTGCCTGGGCTATCTCTTAGTCCAGATTTTCTGCTAAAAGATTTTGTGTATCTTTCCTTGCTATATAGAAAGACAGGCAGACAGACAGACAGACAGACAGACAGACAGGAAGGAAGGAAGGAAGGAAGGAAGGAAGGAAGGAAGGAAGGAAGAACTTATTAGGTCTCCACTATTTGGTGTGCAATTGTAAGGCACTTTGTACAAACTTCATGTTTATTCACAGCAGCCCTCTGATATTACCAGCCCCATTTTTCAATGATGACACTAAGGTTCATTGAGGTTAATTCCATACGGCTGCATAGATAAGGGCTTGTGAAGTTAAAATTCAGTTTGATACATCTGATTATACATAATTTCAGCTTCCTGCTTAATTTTTTATGAATTCTAAGTGTGCTATAACACAGACCATTGTTACATAAAGTTAGGCAGACCATGATTAAATCACATTCCCTGGCATTAATAATTACATACAATAAAAGCTTTGTCAGTCAGTGTAAAATGGCTGCATTATGAAGCAAGCATGACCCCCGCCACACACACACACTACCTTGACTTCATGTCAAACAAGTCATGATGAGGGCAGCAAACTACTTCAAAGACATACGTTGTGGCTGTGTGTGTTCATGCTGAGTAAGAGATTGTTCAGATTGTTCACATGAAGGTTAGATGAGAAACCAGTTGTAGTAGCTTAAATGAGAAATACCCCCCCCCAATAGGCTCGATCAGTTGGACACTGTCTCCCCATTTGGTGGCGCTGCTAGAGGAGTTAGGCCATTATAGCCTTGCTGGAGGGAGTCAGTCTACCTGTGTTTCTGCCATGCCTATCCTCCATGATGAACTCTCATCTCTCTGCAACTTTAATCCAGAATAACCTCTTCCCTGCAAGTCACTTTTGGTCTTGGTGTTTATCACAGCAATAGAAAACTAATTGGTACACTAGTAGTTGAAAAAAGAGGAGAAAATATGTAGACTATGCAGCCTCTTTCAATGCAATGAAGTTGTACCTTGTTCCCTATGTGCTCCTATGGGTGAAATTATCTCATAGTGAAATTCTGTTGAGCCTCTCATTTTTAACTCCCATCCATGATTTCTAAGAAGTATCTGTCTTCCGTCTAATTTTGCTTTAGAATAGGTAGCTTCATAGGCAATTTCTATGGTACTGCTTATATATGAATAAATATTAATGAATAGCGGCACTGTTATAATTATATACACTTATTGTCAATGTATTTATAGACAACATCCAACTATTGGCAACTTTTATGTCTGGTAATCTTAGATTTCTTAAGCATCATTTCGATTTTATATGTAGTTTTTCTTTTATTCTTTTCCATGAATGAAGTCTGAAGTTGATGCAATCCTATTTTTAGAAAAACTTTATTTCCCTAATTTGTGTCTTTAAAATGTGCTCTGCTATCTTCACAAGTAAGAAACTACTTCCTGTGTAGATAGCACTATTTTAACCAAAAGAACCTTTGTTTTCATTCTGTATTTTTCACATGATGCCCATGAGTAGTCTGTTAAGTTGGTAGTCTTGCTTCTGGTGGGCAACCCTTGGCACAAAACCTGTAGAAAGGAAGTCCTCCTGAAGTCTTTCTTACTGGCCTCCTGGGGCGCTGGGGTTTCTTGTAAACAGAATACTGAGGTGTAGCCTTGCACCCTGCTGTAAATTTCATTGTGTAATTTCATTGTCAGAAATACTCAGTAAAAAGGGCAGCATTGGGCACATTGCAGTGATCCACAATGTGTTGACTGACCCAACAGAGGATGGCATATCTTACTGTCTTTTGTTCTTGCTAAAACTCACCTGTTTCTTGTTACCCTCTTCCAGCAATAGTCTCAGGATTAAAAGAACAAAATTAAAAAAGAAAAACTTGATGATAAAATTTATCAGCTTCCCACTTATATCTTCATTTGGTATATTTTGGAAAACTTGGATATAGCCTGATAGAATGTGTGGGTATACATAATTACATGCTTTTTTGTCAGTTTCTAATATGTTTACATATTGAGGTTATTTATAAATTAAAACTTGAAATGCAACTTGAGTGAAATCTTATATATTAATTTACTCTACAGTAAGCTGTTAAGCCTTAATCCATTTTGACAAAAATATTTATAAGCAGCTGAAGTGGAGCAATGTTATTATTATAAATGTGATTCCATTCATCTACCTTTCTTCTTGTGGAGGTAATACTTGAGAATCCTGCTCTAAGAATCCTGCTCTAAGGACCTCCATGCAAATGCATTAGGCATCTAGCTCTGAGAACACACCTGTATTATGTATTCATTCAAGTGATGTGTCATACCATTGTGTTTACTATGAAATTAAACGTGTTTTGGATTGTGTGTGTGTGTGTGTGTGTGTGTGTGTGTAATGAGTCATCTTTCTCAGTTGCAGTCCACCTTGTATTTTAAGACAGGGTTTCTCACTCTACCTGGAGCTCACTAATTTGAGAGCTGCCCATTGAGCTCCAGGAATTTGTTTTCCTGCCCCTCCAGTGTGCTGGTTATTCTACCCCGACACCTTACTTTTGTGTATGTTGGGGAGTCCAAACTCTGGTACTCGGGCTTGACAGCAAGCACTTTGCAACTGAACTATCTCTAGCCCCCATTTTAGGTATTTTAATACACACACACACACACACACACACACACACTTAAATATATTTAAATATACACACACATATACATACATACATACATACATATATACATGCATACATACATACATAATGTCTTGAAATGTGAAGCAAAGACTTAGATATGAATTTGGAAAATGACCTCAGGATTTTTAAAATGAGTAAATGTCTCCCACAATCTTACAATCTGTCCTTCTGTCCAAAAGGAAGCTGGACTCAAAATAGTCACAGGTCATAGAATCAAGCATGTCTAATAACTGTAGCCAGAGAAGGAGTCAGGAGACCCTTTGTAACTCATTGTTTTACTTGTATGGGTCCACCAAGCCCTATAATTACTCTTGATTGACAGAGATATGATGTTATTGTTGGTAGCTTGAACCCTCTGAGGTGTGAAATCTGATGCTGTTGCACAGCCTGTTTTGTTCCATCCACCTTCAGCAATTGTCAGCTCAGTTTGAATGTTAGAATCTTGTTGACAGATGAGTGGGGCAGACCGAGCCAAACTAAGCTTACTGCGCCGGTTCTGTGGTGGATGAATTAGGAAAAGAAATCTCCCCAGAACTTTAAGATACAAAACTCTGACATCTCTACTGCATGATGAAGAAACAGCTTAAATTTTCTCATTTTAAAGTAATTCTTTTCCAGATACAAGTGATAGCAGCTGCTCGTGTTCTGCCATTTCATGTAGAAATTTCTGTATCACCTTTGTGGCCAAGACTGACTATACCCATTTTATAAAGGAGGACGCTGGGGGATGGGGCCCATTATATAACTTGTCCTAGAGTGCACATCAGTCGCAAGGCAGAAGTAGGATTTGAACCCAGGTTTATTTCTCTGCAAAACTAATTACCCCCCATGTTAGCTAAAGATGCTTTTTTCCAGGCACATTGAGTTTTAGCCTCACTGCCTTCTCTGTAAGTAGCATCCTTGCTGGACCTTACTGTGCCTGCCATCATGTATCGGTCACATTGGGTACTTTCTAGTTACCTGTGGCCCTTGAGACTTGTATATGGCCTTTCACACTGCTGCTTGCTTACAGTAAACTTACATATGATGTGAACAGCATCAAGTGAAAGCACATTTCCCTAAAAGCTTTGCCTCTTGAGTGAAGAAAAATCAGGAAAATGTACTTACGAGGTTT